TACTATCTATTTCTGATCATCAGTTTAACATCTGATCCGTTGTCCATCAGGCCATTAGCAAAAAAAAAAAAAAAAAATCTAAAATTTTCTGAGGGATGACGATATGTGGCTCTGGTCTGTACGGGGATTATCCTTCAGGAAAATTTTATCTCGAAAGCGAGGAGTTCTTGTGTCTTTGCAGGAGAGAAATTGTCGATTTTTCAACAACAGCATCGGCTGCGCTCCAATCTAAGGTTAATGACCGTTAATCATGAATAAATGGTTATCTCAGATTGGAGGGGATGCTCTGGTGGTTCCATCGTCAAGGAGGACATGAATGAATGAACAAGTAATATAAGGCGACAGTGTGTCACAGGAAGGAAAACTGGGGTAAGGTCCCACTAGCAAAGAGGATTGGATTGAACGCCTGAATCTAGCCGCGTTTGTGGACGAGTGCAAAAAATCGAGATTGAACTCCTTTTCTGCATCTCTGCCTAAAACACACCCAGATTCAGGATCTCAATCCTATCCCGGTTGCTAGTGGGACCATGTTCCTGGTAATTTCAGCATATGGTTAAAGCTACCTTCTTCCCCCGAATACAACGTACGGTCAGCCGTATTTGGGGCATCTTTCAGTCCAGATAAAGATATAATGACCGTACGTTGTATTCCGGGGAAGAAGGTAGCTATACGGATTAAGCTGAAGTAGACCGGGTCGCCGAATCGGATTGAGACCCAGTTAAGATAAGACTTAGTCCACATCAAATTGGTGCTTCGCAGGTGGATGCTGAGTGTTGTGGGTCTAAAGTCCAGCTACGAGAATGGTTCCTCCTTTTTTTCTTTTTTTTTTTTCTGTTGTGGGTTTTCACGCTGGCGTACAAGAGTTAGCAGGCACTGAGAATTTCGCCCCCTGGTTATTATGAAATGACGATAAGATCCATGGGACTCTGGACCTGGTTTCCAGCACAGCCATAAGCTGGATTTTTTTTTTTTTTTTTTTTTTTTAAGAGAATTGAAGTCCTT